TCAGGGGAGGTGTCTCACGTGCACTCAGTTCCACATTAATTGTGATGTACAAAAGAAATGTGCGTGGATTCAGACGTACGCACAGTTTCATACATCTGGATTTTTTTGTGTGTACGCCGTTTTCTGGATTTGACCGTACGCCACGTTTCAGTAAGAAATGCAGCTAAAGCTTCCCTAAAAGACATTAAACTTTTGAACTTTTAGAAGTGTTAGCAGAAAGCGTCAGATAAGCATGATGATGTCACCATCCTGTGACAACATCAACAATTAAAGATACTATTTAAAATCTAAATTCTAAATGTGTTGATAAAAACAACATGGGTGGTCCCTGTGGTCCAGCAGGTTGAAGTGCAGCTCAGACACCAGGCAGAACTGCAGGTTTGATGTCTTGTAGGAAAGCTTTAGCTGATTAGAGCTAACGGTTGCTAATATCTCAGGATGATGACATCATACCATGAACCGAGCACCAACAGCAAAGGCTGCGTTCCATTCCAAAATACCTGAATGAACTTCAACACTTAAGGTTTAACTTTTAAATTAAGATTTAAACATTTAGATTTAAACATTTAGATTTAGGATTTAATACTGTATTTAAATATATTTTTAACATTTAAATTTAACATTTAATAAAAACTAGCTGAATGTAAGAACAGTGAGCTAAATAATGATAAATATGTTGGTAAATTTTTAACATTTCATTTTACACTTCCTGCTCGTTCTTGTTTGTGAAGATAAATAAAGAAGCAGTCAGAGTGAGCTGACTGACAGCTCACACTGGATGAGTTGAACTGGTTTAAAACCCAGTTGACAGGGTCAGAGAGGAGGACACATCTGCTCCTGACAGCTCAGTGTTGACGGCTTTTATCTCCGAATTTATCAGCACAGTTTGAGTCCTCAGATAAGTGGAGAAAATACTTTGTAATGATCGGGAGAATTCATCTGCAGCAGTTTTAAGATTCTACARTTAATCCAGACACTTTGTGTTTATGATTCATCAGCACTCCCTGCAACTTTTATCAGAGCTGATTAAAAAGGCCACAGTTTTCTGCATCCTGGACGTTTAAATATAGGCTAGCCTCCACAAAAACAACCGTCAGCAACCTACTTCCTAATTGCACGCGGACACGAGAAGTACCTCAGTGTTATTTCCGATCCACCAKATGTAGGTGACCGTTCCCACTTGGCTGGGCCACAGAACAGCAGTCAGGTTCACTTCCTTGTTCTTCACCGCCACAAAGGGAGCCGAGAGATGGATATGCTCCAGCTGACCTGCTCACACACACATACATCACAGCGTGAATGCCACACTCTGCTACGGCGTGCAGAAAGTAGAGAGAAAACCAAACAGAAACAAGTTTATTGGTCGAAACCAGGGAGAAGAGTGGATTTTTAGGTGGGTGGTGAATATGCACTGGAACAGATAGTTGCCATCTGTGCGGTATTTTTCATCCGCTGCCCTCCTGAGCCCGCAGTGACTCTGTTTGTATGGCTGGCACTCGGGATTGACAGATGGGGGAGGGGGCAACGGTTGTCCCTGATCAATAAGTCAACTTCTATTACATGTCAGACCCTGAATAGAGCCGCACCAATGAGGTCGAGCAGCACAAGGCAGGGCCGGCTGGAGAGGAAGTGTAAGAAGATTTCCTCTCTCTCTCTCTCTCTCTCTCTCTCTCTCTCTCTCTCTCTCTC